CCCCCCCTCCCGCCCCCCCCCCCCTGCCCCCCCCCCAGCCAGCCCTACTTCCCGCCGGCCAGTTCCTTCCCCCAATCCCCCCCACACAGCCCCTCTCTTCCTGACCCCCTCCCAGCCAGCCCTACTTCCCGCCGGCCAGTTCCTTCCCCCAATCCCCCCCACACAGCCCCTCTCTTCCTGACCCCCTCCCAGCCAGCCCTACTTCCCGCCGGCCAGTTCCTTCCCCCAATCCCCCCCACACAGCCCCTCTCTTCCTGACCCCCTCCCAGCCAGCCCTACTTCCCGCCGGCCAGTTCCTTCCCCCAATCCCCCCCACACAGCCCCTCTCTTCCTGACCCCCTCCCAGCCAGCCCTACTTCCCGCCGGCCAGTTCCTTCCCCCAATCCCCCCCACACAGCCCCTCTCTTCCTGACCCCCTCCTGGCCAGCCCCACTCCCCGCCGGCTGGTCCCCCCCATTTCCCCTTGCCAGCCCTGCTCCCCCTTACCCCTCCCGACCAGCCCTGCTTCCCACCAGTTGGTTCCTTCTCCCAATCTTCCCTGGCCAGCTCCACTCCCCAAAATCCTCTCCCATCCAGCCCTGCTCCCTCCAACCCTCTTCCAGCCAGCCCTGCTCCCCCTTACCCCTCCCGACCAGCCCTGCTTCCCACCAGTTGGTTCCTTCTCCCAATCTTCCCTGGCCAGCTCCACTCCCCAAAATCCTCTCCCATCCAGCCCTGCTCCCTCCAACCCTCTTCCAGCCAGCCCTGCTCCCCTCCTGACCGGTCCCCCCTCCTCCAGTTCTGAGATCATGTGTGTCCGTTATTGTTTTGAAACCCATCTGTTAACCCTAGAGGCGTGGTGATGAATATTCCCATGCCTTATTTGCATACGTTCTTGTGCAAGAAAGCACAATGTAGCTGTAGCCAGAAGGTTCTGGAGGCTGGATACTAGCTTGGACTTGTGGGACTGGCTGGTCATGGAGTGGTGGGATGACCAGTAGTGGCTGCAGAACATTTGAATGTGCAAGATCACCTTCCTAGAGTTCTGTGCCTGTCTCGCACCCACCCTCCAGAGACACAACACCCACCAGGGGTCCACCATCCCCCTGCAGAAGTGGGTTGGGGACTGTGTGGGATAGAGTGGGGGTGCAGGT